GAGCGCTACCTCGTAACGCGGCAGTCTGCAGTCCGTAATTCCGAGTTTTGTCGTTTTTGTAAGAATAGAAGGCTTGCAAAATACGGCCGCATCATGTGGCTCGGATGCAGGGTCAACCTTTCGTTGGAACAAGCACCGGCGGGTACAAGTACCAAAGGGCATTGTGCTTGCGTTTTGGGAGAGGGGTCATGTTTGGGGTTGGCGAAGGAGAAAAGATCACTAGGTCGAATTTGTGGAAGTTGGAGGCAGGGTCAACCGTCCGTTGGACAAAGTCCAACGGGGGGTCGTATTCGGCCGACGAAAAGGGGAGGGTCGTATTCGCAAGTCGGAGGCAGCGTCAATTCTACACAACGGGGGTAGTGTGACCCCCCCCCCCCCGCTCGACGGGAATTTTAGAGGAAATGTGGAGATGTGGGTGGAGTTGGGAAGTGTCAACTGGTCTCAGAATCAAATACTATAGTAACAGCTGGGGGGTCGTATCGAGGCCCTCCAGAAGGGGGGTCGTAAAATTTTTGAAATTTGTCCAACGTGACGGTTGACCCTGGTTGGAGGGTCGTGATTGCGGGAAAAGGTTATCGTGTTTGACAGAGTTTCTGACGATTTTGATGAAAATCGCACGAAAGAGGCGTGAAATAGACAAAACTAGAACTAGACTGCCGTTACTCAACGCATAATTACCTCTCCGCTGAACAGCGATTTCAGAGGAAAAAAGTAGGCGTAGTTGGGCTGTGTCGCCTGATCTCAGAACCAAATGCTCTAGAAACAAACACGATACCCCTAAGGGGGGAGGGGGAGTAGTGGTGGTCTGGATAGGGCGTGGTAGGGGGTGGTCATTGAGAAACCCCAAAACTCATGGCGGTGGTGGGTAACCTTCAAGTCCTCCCATAGTAGTGGGCGCAATATTTTGAAAAGTATCAACGTAGAGGTTGACCCTGCTCGAACGAAGCGTAAGCGGCTCCGGTCAGGCATAAAGGCACCCTATGCCAGGTGTTAGGCCGATGTCAGACTTTGCGAATCGCGCGATTCGCTAGCGTCTGCGGTCGCGTCGCGGCCAGTGAATCACTCAATTGGCTGGTACCGCAACGCGACCCGTTCTACACTGTGCTGGGTAACACAACAGCGAATCGCGCGGGTCGCCAAGTCCGACATCGGCGCGCAAATCGCTAGTCCAGAGCCAAAATATAGCAAATCGCGGGATTCGCAAAAGTCTGACATCGGCCTTAGGCTTCACATCCCCGTCGCGCGACTCGCCACTTTGTCGCACGATGATTGCGAAGTCTGACATCTGCCTTTGTATGCAACACCAATTATTCACAGCTTGGCGAGTGTCGAGCAGCATTTCAGCATTCTCCGGCAAGTTTCAGCAATCATTTCCTTTATACAGACAACCGAGACGTCCACATCCAACAACTTCTCCAACCACTACAACCACACCGGCGATGACCACCACATCCGTTGCAGCACAGGTCGCCCCACGACCAGGTAATGGCCTGCCTCAATTAGAATCAGCTCAACTTCAAGAAGAATTTTCCACTGATTTAAGATACAGAAGCGCTTCGAATGGCTCTGCGAAGGGAAATCAGAAAATTCGTCTCTCAGGAACTGAAACAGAAGGTTGGAGTAGGCGCAATTTTTTTTCACCGCATCTTTGTTTATTGTAATTGTTCATTACATAGGTACCTCATCTTGAACTAATCGCATTCTCCCAATCACTTCTATATGATAAATTTGAGAGTAATAGCCCTCAAAATCGAGCCCAACTGCGCTATTGCTCCCAACCAAGCCGATTGAGTGTCTGTAACAAAACCCAAACTCCAGTTTTAATTTTATGATTTCGAATGAAATAAGTAAGAAGTTTGCTCGACCAAGCGAACGCCATCAAGCCCCATCGATCCCATAAAAACTCTTGAGAAAGAGATCAAGTGGGGTTCCCACTGGGATAATATAAATTCCATTTCTGAAGCAAGAGCATTTGAATGAATGTTTGATTCAAGGGTGCTCACGAGTTTTGTCCAACCTTACACCCTTGAACAAGGTTAACTTCGACTCGTTAGAAGTAGGATGGAAGGCTAGGCTCATATGAGCGACTTTGGAGGGAAGCGATGCAAGGATTCAGCATCCGAGGGTCGTGACGGGATTCCATGCGCTTTTGAAACAACAACTTCAGATGAAATCTTGCGGAACAACTTATTCTGTGAGTAGGATCGAGTTACTCACGATTATTAGACGTGCCGTTGTCAAGACTCAAAACTGCTCGACAGGGGCGCTAGCGCCTTTCAAAATGGGCAAATCTGAGTAAAGTGGGCTAATGGACGAGAATCCTCTAGCACGCCAATTGAAATACGCGCAGGTTATTAGTGCCATGGAGCAAGCAAATCCAGCAAACTCGTCGAGACGCGCCCCTTCCTCGTTTCGAATGAGAAGAGACAGGTCCTTGCTAAGGGCTTCATAGGTGGTTTTCCATGCTTCCTTCATTTCCAGTCAACTCGGCATCACACACTCATCATACACTGCTGTTACCCCACCAATCTGAGCAAATTTTTGGTTCGAAGGCACAAATCACACACAACGAAACCATGTAGATTGGAAAGATGAAGAACACTGACTTGTACATCGGCTGGCCCCACAAGTCATTGTATAGGCCACATCGCATTCAAATGCCACTACGAATGTACAAATGGAAGTAGAATGCGTGCCGCATCCCAAAAAGGGATTGATCAACGGCAAATGCTTCATCCTTTTATTGCTCTAACAAATGTGCCAATGAGCTGGCTAACACTGGGAATAACTTCGCCAGAATACCCTTAACAAATCTAAAGCATCTCTTCCCCCTCCTCCAGGTAATTGGAGGAAGAGGAGGGAGGCTTCTCACTTGACATTGGGCCGTAATCTGGTATTGCCGAAAATGTGGCAATGTCGTTGAGAGAAAAGCCTAACCATTTGCAGTGGATTTTTATTACCGGGATTTTGTTGGCCACCTCACTCATAATACCTTGTTTATCTTGTTAAGCTTCCAAATTTTCAGGGTTTTCGAGTGCATGGAACCAAAACCGTTGAAGGAATGGAGCCAATGAACGAGCCCAATGTGGTGATTCCTGTCTCAAAAACCAAGTCACACCATACAGACGACATATCTTTAAGTGCTGGTAATATGTTCGATGAGTTCTAAGTGAAATAATATAATACTGTGTTTCTAGAGAGATCCCTTACATCGACAAAAGCATCCACTGCTGAACAACTCTTTGCAGGTGTTCGATTCGACAAACGCCTGCGATCAAAACGAACACTCGGTGATGCTTAGTTTTCACTCATCAACGAGAAAACCGTACACAGCTGCCGTGGAAACGGTAAAAGCTCGTGATCACCGGCAGTGCCTTGAGCATTGCGAGGAGAATTCCGATTGGTGGGTAGCGCTGGGTTCTCAGGAAAAAGAACTGGTAGAGTGAAAAAATAAATTTATTTTAATTACAGCTCATCGGCTGTGTTCTCCGGTTCCATGTGCGAGATGTCTACAACCCGAGCCCGACATTCAGTTCCAGACATTCGTCCGGCAAATAACGAAACCTACATCGAAAAGGCTTGTGTGGATAAGATGTTGGTCAAAGGTAATAATTCACGGCAACGATCAATAGCTATGTAATACATGATGAGTTGGCAAAAAAATTCGCACTTCGACATATACTCCCTCTCAAAAAACGAGGAAGAGCGTCGGGTGCAGACCACACACCACAAGTGACGACGGCCTCCACAAGAAATGTAATTGTTTCTGTCAGTGAAATGATAGCCCTTTTGTTGCAGTTGTATTCCATCATTCATCACTAACAACAACTATCATTACAAAAATCAGCTACCACTATGAACGCTACTAACCAGATTTGCTTGGAGGACCTCGTCACTTGTGGTGCATGGTCCGCACCCGACGCTCTTGCTCGTTTTTTGAAAGAAGTAGCTTTCGTCGCATGGTGCCGCTTAACTGGTTTCCATGCTTCCAGACCTCTTCATGAACAGAAGCCAAACCCTTGCTCTTTGCCCTCACCGACAACAAGAACATAATGACGTCATCTGCAATTGCCATATGGCCCGATCTGGAGCTGCTAGATGAGTTCTCAATCGCTTTCACTGGTGGATGTCTTCCTAATGCTGACTTGGCGCCACCCTCTATGTTTGTTCCATGCTGATGGTCTCGACCACTCAAGGACATCGTTGAGGCTCTGAATCGTGGCGCGCCTGCCCACGCCCAAATTCCTGCGATGTCGTCTGGTGCGTGAGCGCCGCCTATTAGGAATTTCCTTGATCCACTGCCAATGTCTCTCTCAATTTCCAGTTCGAAGTCATTTGTTTTGTTCACACACTGTGCAATTATTTGCCCGTTTTGAAGTGTGGAAGGAGAAAGATTTTTGTTGCCGATTCGCCCCCCCCCCTCCGCCACCAGACTCGCGCTGACGTCTCCCCCGTTCCATAGCTTTGAAGCAAAAGTGCTAGCAATGGATACCTTTTTCATAGGCCGCAAACGTGGCTTGCTTCCGAATTCAAACTTTCAGCACGTACTGGAGCCAAATACTGGCCGCTCTGTGAAAATAGAAATTCCGGCTAACCCATAACGGACGGCCAGTGTATTTGTTGTGTGTGGTCGCGGCACGGGTTTATGTAGGCTTATGCGAACAGCAGGGTTAAGACGGGGCTAAAGTAGGTGTCCTTGTCTCATCATCCAAAAGAAGAGATTTCCGTTGACGACAACTTCGTAACCCGCCTTTCCGCTCTAAAACTAGGGTGCAAAGAATGAATGGAAGCTGCAGGTGAAATCATGGAAAAATGCGGAACAACAACCCCGAGCAAGGATGTGGCTATATTTAGGGGAAGGGGTCTCGGGACGAGTGAACCATCTGTAAGCCATCCATCAAATAGTAAGCTTATGAAAATTAAGACAAAGTGTATGTAAAATTTATTGTAGGTTTGTCAAAAATCCACTCGTCCAGGTCCTGGGAAGATATGTTATTCCACATTGCTGAGAGTAGTAAATGCGGGGTTGTCTATACTAAATCTGTTATAGAAACGTAACAAACCCAACGAAAAGAAATAATCGTACGCCCTTCCGCTTACTGGGTTAAAAGAGATTCCGCTAAAATCGAACGGAGTCGAAGAAGGAAATTGTCTAACGGGGAGAGTAAGCCGACGCTCTGAAGGGTAGCGTACCGACACCGCGATGCAGGCGAAAGATTTGTATCGCTCTATCTGGCGCAGTTAGCGCGGTACGCCCACCGACTGTCTATCACTCGTCTACACGTGGCGAGTGATTAGATAGCAGAGAGAGCGTAGTGTTGAAGAGGGCACAGCGATGAGTCGCATCAATGCTCAAATCAACGGGCAAGGAAGGGGTCCCATTTCTCGGGTTCTGGGCCGTTTCTCATGGTTCTTCCTTCTTTCGTGTACCACTCACCATCCCTAGGTTAATTTGAAATGGGTTGCTTTTTCATCGTGAATTCGTCCTTTAAGTGATGAGATCTGAGACTCGTGCTCCATCAACAACGATCTTCGTTGTGAAAAACGTCAATGGGGATTTGAGGCTGTTTCGAGACTCCCCTAACACGATAATTTCTTCACTCTTCCTGTCAAGATTACCCGGAAAATTGCTGGTTAATTTTCACTCTAGTACGGCACAGTCCGTTGTTGAGTCCATAAAAAAGGTGACCTCGCTGATTGGACGGATTACCTTGTGCGAGAAATGACAGTACGTTTTAGGAAGGTCGACACATCTCACCGGCGTGGCTAATCACATTCTGGCAGGCTTTGTGGAACAGGTCGAAGATGTTTATGGTATCGAACAGTGCATCGCAGCATGTTACAAAGCGTAGGAATTCATATTTACAAATCTTTACTAAACAGTCCTTCATGAGCCCTTCCGGAACTACTTAAAGTATGAAAAGCGCAATACATATAAGTCCACTAATTTGGGGCAAGTTTTTCCAAGCTATGAGGTTTCTCCCCCCTCCCACGCTACGGAGGCACGATTTCAATTCCAATTTTCATGGTATACTTACCATAGCTTGTCAGCACTCACACATATAAAGTGTTGAGCCGGATAGCCGATATCGCTCGTTCGTTGAAAGGTGCTGGTCTCACGAGATTCCGTCGGCGAAAGTAATTATTGTTCACAACCCTCCATCCTTGTAATACATTCGCAAGGCCAACTGCGGCCAAAAGCAGCAGTTAAAAAAACAAGTCAAAATTGGAGGCAATACATTGCTATTGTTTAGGCACTGAAAACGGTATCCGGCTTCCATGCATTCGGTCGATTGTGGTTAGCTCGTATGTGATCAAGAGCAGGTGAGCGGGTAGGTGCAGCGTGGACAGGAACTGGTTTTGCGCAACACCTTTTTACCCGATACCTCTTCATTATTACAACCCAATTTAGAACTGCCTTCTCAATAGCGAAACGATGAAATTCACGACCGAATCTATTCATTTCAGAGGTGAGCATCATTACTAAAATAAGGGTCTGTACACCGTCCCAATACCTCAAATGATTTTTGAATAGACAAGATTAACTCGGTAAAATAGCAGCGTACTCGTTGGAAGTCATATAGTGAACTAATTTGTGAGAAAATCACTTAAAA